GTATATAAATTTAAAATAACTTTTTTTGTTCTATTATATCATTGCCTGTATATGTACACACATTGTGTTTTTGTAAATTATCGTGTGGTGTGGCAGCGTCAGTGGAGACAGGAGCGCGGTTGCTTTGCACACGTCTAATACCTGTTAAATTCGGGAAAGCTGGACCTGTTCAGTTGGGAGTTCCAGATGTCACTTTTATTTAGTTTAGGTAATTGTTTATTTTCTGCAATTAAACAGGTGGCATTGTACTTATATATTTTGTAAGTAACTATTATCTGTAATTTGCATTCTTGTGTGTTTTGAGAACAAGTGGTTGTTCAATTAGTTTTAAATATTAAAAAGTCCTTAGTTTCCATCCCTCATCCTGGGATGAGGCAGACGGGAGGTGAGAATTTGGGTAGCGACAGAGCGAGAGTTCAGTAGCTTCGAGGGACCAGGAAGAGTAACATGTGGGAGATAAGTCTGTTTATTTGTTGTTGTGTCATGTAGTAGATTTTTATTCTGGGAGAGACAATATTTGATGTTTGCTTTAATAGTGACCCACTGTTCATATATACAATATTGAGATGTATATGAAATATATATATATATATTAAAATGCATACGTATATTTCTTCAGTCCTAAGGGAGATATACTTTTAATTCTGTGCCTGTTATCATTCATGGGGTTATACTGGTGACCCGCTTAAGAGAGCAGCAGTGGTATCCCTAGACGTAATTAAAGCTTGGCTGCTGTAGGGTCACGAGCCGTAACGAACGATAGGTAACATTAGGGCTTTGGGGTGTTTGTGAGGCGGTGATGATGGCTCTGGGGTGTTTGTGAGGCAGTAATGAGGGCCCCTGGGTGATTGTGAGGTGGTAACGAGGGGCCCGGTATGTTTGTGCGGCGGTAATGAGGGCCCCGTGGTGCTTGTGTGGCGGTAATGAGGGACCCGGTATGTTTGTGAGGCGGTAATGATGGCCCCGAGGTGTTTGTGAGGCAGTAATGAGGGCTCATGGGTGTTTGTGATGCGGTAATGAGGGCCCCGGGGTTTTTGGGAGGCGTAATGAGGGTCCAGGGGTGTTTGTGAGGTGGTAATGAGGGCCTTGGGGTGTTTGTGAGGCATTAATGAGGGCCCCGGGGTGTTTTGAAGCAGTAATTGGGGCCCCGGGGGTTTGTGAGGCGGTAATGAGGGCCCCGGGGTGTTTGTAATGCGATAATTAAGGCCCAGGGGTGTTTGTGATTCAGTAATGAGGGGCCCCAGTGTGTCTGTGAGGCGGTAATGACGGCCCCGGTGTGTTTGTAAGGCGGTAATGAGGGGCTCCGGTGTGTTTGTGAGGCGGTAATGAGGGTCTCGGGGTGTTTGTGAGGCGGTAAATAAGGCTCTGGGGTGTTTGTGAGGCATTAATGGGGGCCCCTGGGTTATTGTGAGGTGGTAATGAGGGGCCCGGTATGTTTTTGAGGCATTAATGAGGGCCCAGGGGTGTTTGTGTGGCGGTAATGAGGGCCCCAGGGCGTTTGTGTTGCGGTAAAGAGGGCCCCGGGGGTGTTTGTGTGGCGGTAATGAGAACTCCGGTATGTTTGTGTGGCGGTAATTACGGCCCAGGGGTGTTTGTGAGGCGGTAATGAGGGCCCCGGGTTTTTGTGATGCGGTAATGAGGGCTCCGGGGTGTTTGTGAGGCGGTAATGAGGGCCCAGGGGTGTTTGTGATGCGTATTGAGGGCCCCGGGGTTTTTGTGATGCGGTAATGAGGGCTCTGGGGTGTTTGTAAGGCAGTAATGAGGGCCTTGGGGTGTTTGTGAGGCAGTAATGAGGGCCCCAGGGGTTTATGAGGCGGTAATGAGGGCCCCGGTGTGTTTGTGATGCAGTAATAAGGGCCAGGGATTGTTTGTGAGGCAGTAATGACGGCCTCGGGTTGGTTGTGAGGTAGTTGGGGCCCGGTACCCCGAGGCCCAACCCGCAGCCTGGTGGATAGCGCGCAGGACTCGTAATTCTGTGGCGCGGGTTCGATTCCCGCACGAGGCAGAAACAAATGGGCAAAGTTTCTTTCACCCTGAATGCCCCTGTTACGTAGCAGTAAATAGGTACCTGGGAGTTAGTCAGCTGTCTCGGGTTGCTTCCTGGGGGTGGAGGCCTGGTCGAGGACCGGGCCGCGGGGACACTAAAGCCCCGAAATCAACTCAAGATAACCTCAAGATATAGTAATGAGGGCACCAGGGTGTTTGTTAGGCGGTTATGAAAGCTCCGGGGTGTTTGTGAGGCAGTAATGAGGGCCCCGGGGAGTTTGTGAGGTGGAAATGAGGGGCCCGGGGTGTTTGTGATTCAGTAATAAGGGGCCCGGGGTGTTTGTGATGCGGTAATGAGGGGCCCGGGGTGTTTGTGATGCGGTAATGAGGAACCCGGGTGTTTGTGAGGCGGTAATGAGAGCCCCGGGGTGTTTGTGAGGCGGTAATGAGGGGTCCGGGGAGGTTGTGAGGCGGTAATGAAGGTCCCAGGGTGTTTGTGAGGCAGTAATGAGGGCCCCAGGGTGTTTGTGAGGTGGTAGTGAGGGGCACGGGGTGTTTGTGAGGCGGTAATGAGGGGCCCGGGGTTTTTGTGAGGCGACAATGAGGGCCCCGGAATTTTTGTGTGGCGGTAATTAGGGCCCCGAGGTGTTTGTTTGGCGGTAATGACGGCCCCGGGGTGTTTGTGAAGCGGTAAGGAGGGCCCCAGGGTGTTTGTGAAGCGGTAATGAGGGCCCTGGGGTGTTTGTGTGGCGGTAATGAGGGCCCCGGTGTGTTTGTCAAGTGGTAATGAGGGCCACGGCGTGTTTGTGAAGCGGTAAGGAGGGCCCCGGGGTGTTTGTGTGGCGGTAATGACGGCCCCGGGGTGTTTGTGAAGCGGTAAGGAGGGCCCCGGGGTGTTTGTGTGGCAGTAATGAGGGCCCCGGGGTGTTTGTGTGGCGGTAATGAGGACCCCGGGGTGTTTGTGTGGCGGTAATGAAGGGCCCGGTATGTTTGTGAGGCGGTAATGTGGGCCCCGAGGTGCTTGTGAGCAGTAATGAGGGGCTCATGGGTGTTTGTGAGGCGGTAATGAGGGCCCCGGGGGTTTGTGAGGTGGTAATGAGGGCCCCGGGGTGTTTGTGAGGTAGTAATGGGGGCCCCGGGGTGTTTGTGTGGCGGTAATGAGGGAGCTGTGGTGTTTGTGAGGCGGTCATGAGGGCCCCGGGGAGTTTGTGAGGCAGTAATTAGGGCCCCGGGGTGTTTGTGAGGCGGTAATGAGGGCCCCGGGGTGTTTGTGTGGCGGTAAAGAGGGCCCCGGGGTGTTTGTGTGGCGGTAATGAGGGCCCCGGGGTGTTTGTGAGGCGGTAATTAAGGCCCCGGGGTGTTTATGTGGCGGTAATGAGGGCCCCGGGGTGTTTATGTGGCGGTAATGAGGGCCCCGGGGTTTTTGTGTGGCGGTAATGAGGGCCCCGGGGAGTTTGTGAGGCAGTAATTAGGGCCCCGGGGTGTTTGTGAGGCGGTAATTAGGGCCCCGGGGTGTTTGTTTGGCGGTAATGAGGGGCCCGGGGTGTTTGTGTGGCGGTAATGACGGCCCCGGGGTGTTTGTGAGGCGGTAATGAGGGCCCCGGGTTGTTTGTGTGGCGGTAATGAGGGCCCCGTGGTGTTTGTGTTGCGGTAATGAGGGGCCCCGGGGTGTTTGTGCGGCGGTAATGAGGGTCATTGCGTGTTTGTTATGCGGTAATTAGGGCCCCTGGGTGTTTGTGAGGCGGTAATGAGGGCTACGGGGTGTTTGTGAGGCGGTAATGACGGCCCCGGGGTGTTTGTGAGGCGGTGATGAGGGTCCCGGGGTGTTTGTGAGGCGGTAATGACCGCCTTGTGGTGTTTGTGAGGCATTAATGAGGTCCCCGGGAGTTTGTGAGGCAGTAATGAGGGCCCCGGGGTGTTTGTGAGGCGGTAATGAGGGGCCCGAGGTGGTTGTGAGGCGGTAATGAAGGTCCCTGGGTGTTTGTGAGTCAGTAATGAGGGCACCGGGGTGTTTGTGAGGTGGTAATGAGAGGCCCGGGGTTTTTGTGTGGCGGTAATGAGAGCCCCGGGGTGGTTGTGAGGCCATAATGAGGGCTCCGGGGTGTTTGTGAGGTGGTAATGAGAGCCCCAGGGTTTTTGTGAGGCAGTAATGAGGGCCCCGGTGTGTTTGTGAGGTGGTAATGAAGGGCCCGGGGTGTCTGTGAGGCGGTAATGATGGGCCCCGGGGTGTTTGTGAGGCAGTAATGAGGGGTCCCGGGGTGTTTGTGAGGCGGTAATGATGGGCCCCGGGGTGTTTGTGAGGCGGTAATGAGGGCCTTGGGGTGTTTGTGAGGCGGTAATGAAGGCTCCGGGGTGTTTGTGAGGCAATAATGAGGGCCCCGGGGTGTTTGTGAGGCGGTGGTGAGGGGCCCGGGGTGTGTGTGATGCGGTAATGAGGGGCCCGGGGTTTTTGTGATGCGGTAATGAGGGGCCCAGGCTGTTTGTGAGGCGGTATTGAGGCCCCCCGGGGTGTTTGTGATGCGGTAATGAGGGGCCCGGGGTGTTTGTGAGGCGGTAATGATGGGTCTGGGATGTTTGTGAGGCGGTAATTAGGGCCCTGGGATGTTTGTGAGGCGGTAATGAAGGTTCCGGGGTGTTTGTGAGGCGGTAAAGAACGCTCTGGGGTGTTTGTGAGGCAGTAATGCGGGGCCCGGGGTGTTTGTGAGGCAGTAATGAGGGGCCCGGGGTGTTCGTGAGCCGATAGCAGCACCTATCAACCCTACCATGTCTCAGAGTACGGTTAAAAAATTATTTAAGACATAAGAATCTATGAAACTGCAGAAGACCTATTGGCCCATACTGCAGCCCTCACAAACACCGTCCCGCAGCGCTCCCTCTGGTACGTGCAGGAGGAGAGACAGCTGCAGGCTCCCTGCAACGGCACCTGCAACGGAAGCTGCCGTTGCAGCTGTATCAGCTGCCTCTGGGTCACGAGCCTCCAGGGGACGGTTGTGCTCCTAAGGATGAGCGTGAGGATGACCGCCTTTTCCAGCGGCCTCACCGCCCTGACCAGAGAACCAGTCTCCATCTCATGTTGTGACCCGAACACAGGTGGTGTCCTAGGGCGCCCAGGACCCTGTGAGCACACAACATTCAGGCCTCCCTCTCACAATAACACAGTCGACCAAAGTATTACATGTGAACCCAACAGCGCATTCCTCTCATCACCTCCACCGTCTGATCCACAAAGGCCTCCTCGGAGAGCTGGGAAACAAGTTGAAGTTAAGTATCAGTCTTGGCGTCTGGGTCAGGAGGAATATATGTCTCTCCTGGGATGACTAGACCAGATCAATGATCGTCACCAAGACATAAATAAGATTTTCCATTTTTATTGATGAGAGCTGTGAAGGGCTGGCCTCTCTCCCCTCCCCTAGCACTCCATTCCTACGTTACTAGTCTTTATTGTCTTTGTTTACTACCTAAAGATAGCAAATTAGGGACTACAGTCATCCACATTTACTACCAAAAGTGCGCTTTTCTCTTGACCCTTATCACCGGACCGCCGGCCAATTCGTAATAGTGGTCCATTTATCCAGCAATTAGGGAATCCCATAATACCACATTCTCTGATCGTTGCTGCTCTCTATTGGAGTTCTCAGATCACTGCTGCTCTCTGTTGGAGTTCTCAGATCACTGCTGCTCTCTGTTGGAGTTCTCAGATCACTGCTGCTCTCTGTTGGAATTCTCTGATCACTGCTAATCTCTTTTTTCCTATTATTCTTCCAGTTTTCCTTTCCTTACTTCTAAACCTTCGTTAACTTTAACTGATTTTCTTTATTCCTAAGATTTTTCTATTTCTTACCCTTTTTTCTTTTGCTTTCCTTGATAAGAAGAAGTCTTATTCTTATCTTCATTCTTCTCTCTCTTTATCACATCTTTAACCTCACTCCCGTACCTTACAGTGTCGACTCTTCCAGTGCCTTACCGCTACACGTGATAATGCTCCACGACGGACCGAAACGTCGCCAGTTCTTCCTTCTCAGTTGTGAGTTGGATATCAGCTCTTGGGCCACGTTGTTGTGACTCATCGTCTCTATATCTCTGGAAGAAATGCATATATACAATTAAGACAACGTAACGAGCCTCAGCTTTTACCACTCTCCGTCACACGTCCCTCAGCGGGTCGTATCATTAATCTCCAGCACCACCAGGGGTCGTAATCACCCATAACAGTTAAACAGCCTCCTTACACCATCCTCCAGAGGTCACCATAACACTCAAATTACCGGCTCAATGTTGGGCGGTTATGTATCTTCTTGAGGTTATCTTGCAACCCGTTCTCGCAAATTTAATAAGTCAATATTGATTTATTAAATATGTGCATAGGTGACATACTTAACATAATAGATACCCTTAAAAAGATTCATAGAAAACACCGACCTTACCTAACCTACTTAGTATGTTAAGATAAGCATCTTATTGCTTCGTAATTACAATTATTACCTAACCTATAATAGGTATAGGTTAAGTAATAATTGTAATTACGAAGCAATAAGATGCTTATCTTAAGATACTAACAAGGTTAGGTAAGGTCGGTGTTTTCTATGAATCTTTTTAAGGGTATCTATTATGTTTAGTATATCACCTATGCACGTAGTTAATAAGTTAATATTGACTTTACGAATTTACGAGAACGGGTTGTATCTTGAAATGATTTCGGGGCTCAGCGTCCTAGTGGCCCGGTCCTCGACCAGGCCTCCTTTTTGTTACACACGCAGGAAACAGCCCGTAGCAGCTGTCTAACTCCCAGGTACCTATTTACTGCTAAGTGAACAGGTGAATCAGGGTGAAAGAAACCCTGCCCATTTGTTTCCGTCCCCACTGGGGATCAATCCCGGAACCTCAGGACTACGAATCCGAAGCGCTCTCCACTCAGCTGTCAGGCCCCTCAAGGCGGTAATGGCGGTAATAACATTGTATACATAACAGTATACATGTTCTACTCGCTAGTTCTAGCTCACCGTTGTCACCTGTGGCAAGTCCGGTGACAATGGCAATAGTGTGTCGGCCAGGTAGAGAGAGAGAGAGAGAGAGAGAGAGAGAGAGAGAGAGAGAGAGAGAGAGAGAGAGAGAGAGAGAGAGAGAGAGAGAGAGAGAGAGAGAGAGAGAGAGAGAGAGAGAGAGAGAGAGAGAGAGAGAGAGAGAGAGAGAGAGAGAGTGAGTGAGAGAGAGTGAGAGAGAGAGAGATGTCACTGTCGCGAGCTTCACGACTTCCTTTGTCGATGTCCAGGCCAGACATACCTACTTCGATGTCATCGTACGAACATGTCTCCTCTGACCGCCTGTGACAGCGCCCCCTGGCATGTCTCGTGACACTCTCCATTGTGTCTTAGCTTCTCAGAACAAGCTAAGACACACCGAGTCCTTAATAAGACGCACTTAGCTTCCGTCGGGCCCAGTCCTACAAGCCGCCGCTACTTCCTCGTAAGATACACAAGATTTATAAGTTTCGAAAAAAACTGGCGTCAGTACCGTCCTCACCGCTTCCCTCATAAGACACTGCTGAGACACTGCCTAACTCTTTGGCAGCTTCTCAGTACCTAGAGTGAGCAGAACAGTGCCGTGCTTCTGTTATCTTCGTTCACACCAGGCCAATTACCCTGGATACTAACACCCTGGCCTCCTACACCCTGGCCTCCTACATCCTTGCCTCCTACACCCTGGCCTCCTACATCCTTGCCTCCTACACCCTTGCCTCCTACATCCTTGCCTCCTACACCCTTGCCTCCTACATCCTTGCCTCCTACACCCTTTCCTCCTACATCCTTGCCTCCTACATCCTTGCCTCCTACATCCTTGCCTCCTACACCCTTGCCTCCTACATCCTTGCCTCCTACACCCTTGCCTCCTACATCCTGGCCTCCTACACCCTGGCCTCCTACACCCTGGCCTCCTACATCCTTGCCTCCTACACCCTGGCCTCCTACATCCTGGCCTCCTACACCCTTGCCTCCTACACCCTTGCCTCCTACACCCTTGCCTCCTACACCCTGGCCTCCTACACCCTGGCCTCCTACACCCTGGCCTCCTACATCCTTGAATCCCTACATCCTTGCCTCCTACACCCTTGCCTCCTACATCCTTGCCTCCTACACCCTGGCCTCCTACACCCTTGCCTCCTACACCCTTGCCTCCTACATCCTTGCCTCCTACACCCTTGCCTCCTACATCCTTGCCTCCTACACCCTTGCCTCCTACATCCTTGCCTCCTACACCCTTGCCTCCTACATCCTTGCCTCCTACACCCTTGCCTCCTACACCCTTGCCTCCTACATCCTGGCCTCCTACATCCTTGCCTCCTACACCCTGGCCTCCTACACCCTGGCCTCCTACACCATTGCCTCCTACATCCTTGCCTCCTACACCCTGGCCTCCTACACCCTGGCCTCCTACATCCTTGCCTCCTATACCCTTGCCTCCTACACCCTTGCCTCCTACATCCTTGCCTCCTACACCCTTGCCTCCTACATCCTTGCCTCCTACACCCTGGCCTCCTACACCCTTGCCTCCTACACCCTTGCCTCCTACATCCTTGCCTCCTACACCCTTGCCTCCTACACCCTTGCCTCCTACATCCTTGCCTCCTACACCCTGGCCTCCTACACCCTGGCCTCCTACATCCTTGCCTCCTACACCCTTGCCTCCTACACCCTTGTCTCCTACATCCTTGCCTCCTACATCCTTGCCTCCTACACCCTGGCCTCCTAAATCCTTGCCTCCTACATCCTTGCCTCCTACATCCTTGCCTCCTACATCCTTGCCTCCCCTTGCCTCCTACCCTTGCCTCCTACACCCTTGCCTCCTACACACCCTTGCCTCCTACATCCTTGCCTCCTACACCCTTGCCTCCTACATCCTTGCCTCCTACACCCTGGCCTCCTACACCCTTGCCTCCTACACCCTTGCCTCCTGCCTGCCTCCTACACCTGGCCTCCTACACCCTTGCCTCCTACATCCTTGCCTCCTACACCCTTGCCTCCTACACCCTGGCCTCCTACACCCTGGCCTCCTACCCTTGCCTCCTACACCCTTGCCTCCTACACCCTTGCCTCCTACACCCTTGCCTCCTACACCCTTGCCTCCTACACATCCTTGCCTCCTACACCCTTGCCTCCTACACCCTTGCCTCCTTGCCTCCTACACCCTACACCCTGCCTCCTACACCCTTGCCTCCTACACCCTGGCCTCCTACCCTTGCCTCCTACACCCTTGCCTCCTACATCCTTGCCTCCTCCTTGCCTCCTACACCCTTGCCTCCTACACCCTTGCCTCCTACATCCTTGCCCCTTGCCTCCTACATCCTTGCCTCCTACACCCTGGCCTCCTACACCCTGGCCTCCTACATCCTTGCCTCCTACACCCTTGCCTCCTACATCCTTGCCTCCTACACCCTTGCCTCCTACATCCTTGCCTCCTACATCCTTGCCTCCTACACCCTTGCCTCCTACACCCTTGCCTCCTACACCCTTGCCTCCTACACTTGCCTCCTACATCCTTGCCTCCTACACACCCTTGCCTCCTACACCCTTGCCTCCTACACATCCTTGCCTCCCCTTGCCTCCTACACCCTGGCCTCCTACACCCTTGCCTCCTACATCCTTGCCTCCTACACCCTTGCCTCCTACACCCTTGCCTCCTACACCCTTGCCTCCTTGCCTCCTATCCTTGCCCTCCTACACCCTTGCCTCCTACACCCTTGCCTCCTACATCCTTGCCTCCTACACCCTTGCCTCCTACATCCTTGCCTCCCCTTGCCTCCTACACCCTTGCCTCCTACACCCTTGCCTCCTACACCCTTGCCTCCTACATCCTTGCCTCCTACACCCTTGCCTCCTACACCCTTGCCTCCTACATCCTTGCCTCCTACACCCTTGCCTCCTACATCCTTGCCTCCTACACCCTTGCCTCCTACATCCTTGCCTCCTACACCCTTGCCTCCTACACCCTTGCCTCCTACACCCTTGCCTCCTACACCCTTGCCTCCTACACCCTTGCCTCCTACATCCTTGCCTCCTACATCCTTGCCTCCTACACCCTTGCCTCCTACACCCTTGCCTCCTACATCCTTGCCTCCTACACCCTTGCCTCCTACCCTTGCCTCCTACACCCTTGCCTCCTTGCCCCTTGCCTCCTACACCCTTGCCTTGCCTCCTACACCCTGGCCTCCTACACCCTTGCCTCCTACATCCTTGCCTCCTACACCCTTGCCTCCTACACCCTTGCCTCCTACACCCTTGCCTCCTCCTTGCCTCCTACACCCTTGCCTCCTACACCCTTGCCTCCTACACCCTTGCCTCCTACATCCTTGCCTCCTACACCCTTGCCTCCTACACCCTTGCCTCCACCCTTGCCTCCTACACCCTTGCCTCCTACACCCTTGCCTCCTACACCCTTGCCTCCTACATCCTTGCCTCCTACACCCTCCTACTACATCCTTGCCTCCTACACCCTTGCCTCCTACATCCTTGCCTCCTACACCCTTGCCTCCTACACCCTTGCCTCCTACACCCTTGCCTCCTACACCCTTGCCTCCTACACCCTTGCCTCCTACACCCTTGCCTCCTACACCCTTGCCTCCTACACCCTGGCCTCCTACACCCTGGCCTCCTACACCCTGGCCTCCTACACCCTTGCCTCCTACACCCTTGCCTCCTACACCCTTGCCTCCTACATCCTTGCCTCCTACACCCTGGCCTCCTACACCCTTGCCTCCTACACCCTTGCCTCCTACATCCTTGCCTCCTACACCCTTGCCTCCTACATCCTTGCCTCCTACACCCTGGCCTCCTACACCCTGGCCTTCTACACCCTGGCCACTTCTACACCCGCAATTCTTTAACCTTGTCATTTAAACCTTGGCTATTCTCACCCTTGCTAATTATACCTTGTAAATTATCTCGTTGCCACCTAAGCCCTTGCCACACTGCCTGGCCCCAGTAACCTACCCACATCATGACTCCTCACCTAGATCACCCTAGCTCACCCTCAGAACATACCCTGGCGATATTCACACTATCTACTCTTACTCTGAGCATACACATTGAAGTTGTAAGGCAGTTAGAGATCAGAACCAGGCCACACTTCACCCTAGTACCTGGGGGGTGAGTGAGGAGAGCCACCCCTCCCCTAGTACTTGTAGGTGGGTGAAGTAAACCACCTCTCACCCTGGCACCCTTTCTTTATGAAAACCTTCAATAAACTGTCAGTTTCATCATAATACTATCATGTTAGTACTAGTGAAGGGAAGAGTAACAAACCCTCACCCTAAATACACATTGTCTAGTGTTGCGGTGGTCGGAGAGGAGTCAGGGTGAAGGGTGCAGGGCCACCCTTTACTCTGACCCCTCACCTTAAGCACACACTGCCTGCGTGGAGATGAGGGCCTCTGGAGAGCGAGTGTTTTGGTGGAGATTCAAGTGGTGCCGAGAGGGATGCTCTCCTCTACAGTTTACCTCGGTGGTGAGAGGTTTACCTCGGTGCAAGGCCAACTAGTCTACAGGAGATCAGTTGCTGTGTTGAGCGAGATCACGGTAGAAAGGTTGACCTCATCCCCCGAACACTTTACATCGTCTGTGTATAATCATCACATGATTCCAAAACGGCTTGTTGATTAAATTTTCTCCTGATCTCAACCTCAACCGATTGATGTAACTCAAAGATGATTCATCATACTTTAAAGTTGTTCGTCTTCATTACGACCAATTCATCTCGTTCACCATCAGACTGGTATCGTAGTCTGGAGATTTTACTCATCCAATGAGATTAATTTCATTCACGGAAGATTTACTCTAAAAATTGGAAAATTTTCCCAACGCTGAGGATTATATGCCTATTGAAATTGGTGAAGCGGCCCGAGGGGGAAATGTTACTACCCAACTATTGCAATTTTTATGAGAGAAAAAATAGATTAATGTAGAGAACGTTGGTTCTTCCATGTTCTCCCCGTGGTGGATGAGAACGCTGTGACAGACACCCTGACAGACAGGGAGACTGTGACAGACACCCTGACAGACAGGGAGACTGTGACAGACACAGAGACCCTGACAGACAGGGAGACTGTGACAGACACAGAGACTGTTTCAGACACAGAGAATGTGACAGACATAAACAGAGACAGATACAGAGACAGACACACAGACAGACATAGACACAGACACAGAGCCACGTTACAACACTCACTATTGGATGACCTGTCAACTCTCAACAATGTGAACTTTTCTCGATCGCTTCTTCGATCTTTTTCTTATATACTGCACATTCCAGTAATTACTAACACAATCTGAACAGTTAACATAGCCTGACCTGACCTGATCTGACCTAACCTAACCTGACCTGACCTGACGTGACCTGACATAACCTAACCTAACCTGACATGACCTGACCTAACCTAACCTAACCTGACCTGACTTAACCTAGCCTGACCTGACCTAACGTGACCTATCCTAACATGACCTGACTTAACATGACCTAACATAACCTGACCTGACTTCGTCTGACTTTGTCTGGCGTGACCTAACGTGACCTATCCTAACATGACCTGACTTAACATGGCCTAACATAACCTGACCTGACTTCGTCTGACCGGACCTGACCTGACCTGACCTGGCCTAACTTGACCTGACCTGGCGTAACCTAACCTGACCTAACGTTACCTATCCTAACATGACCTGACTTAACATGACTTAACATAACCTGACCTGACTTTGTCTGACTGTCTGGCCTGACCTGATTTGACCTAACCTGACATGACCTGACCTGACCTGACCTGACTTAACCTAACATGACCTGACTTAACATGACCTAACATAACCTGACCTGACTTGGTCTGACTTGGTCTGGCCAGACCTGACCTGACCTGACCTAACCTAACCATACTTAACCTGACCTATCTTTAGCCTAACTTTACATGACATTATAATATGTAACATTAATACTTTTCATATTGAATAAACACGACTCTGAATACACAAAACGTCTGTAATGACGAGTGCTTTCGGGTCAGTGGCCGCTTGTACCAGTAGAAACTGAGACCCGCTTGAGCGGTGAGGTAGTGAGACATATGGACAGTCAATGAGGCGCACTGAGAGACAGATTCTCACCAACTGACGTACTGAGGGATAATAACAAGGAAAACGCAAGAATTGCAGTCTCCGTGGTGTAGTGGTAAGACACTCGCCTGGCGTTCCGCGAGCGCTATGTCATGGGTTCGTATCCTGGCCGGGGAGGATTTACTGGGCGCAATTCCTTAACTGTAGCCTCTATTTAACGCAACAGTAAAATGTGTACTTGGATGAAAAAACGATTCTTCGCGGCAGGGGATCGTATTCCAGGGACCGTAGGATTAAGGACTTGCCCGAAACGCTACGCGTACTAGTGGCTGTACAAGAATGTAACAACTCTTGTATATATCTCAAAAAAAAAAAAAAAAAAAAAAAATTAGAGACAAAGAAGCAGGGAGAGACACTGTAGGGAAAAGTGAGAGACAATGAGAAAGCGATAAAGATAGAGAGATAGAGACAGACTGACAGGAACCGATGCATCACAACACTTCCATAAACCCAATACACGTGAGTCATCAATCAGAGGCCAGTAATCCAGAGATATTTACTCACTGCGGACTTTGGTAATCCCGGGCACTCAGAACCTGGGATTATTTTGGCCGCATTGTCAGCGGACTCTTAATAGGGTCATAGTGGAATCCTTTTCCG